TAGGATTGCAGTTGAAGATGAAAACAGATTTAATATAACAGATAAGAGATACAGACTTTGCAGAGAAAGTGCAGTCTAGCTCCAGAGACTAAATAGGGCCTGCACCAAGTTTTACACAAAAGTAAAAAATGCGCACTTAAAGTTTAGTACAGAGCACATGCTGGCTCAAGAAAGTAAGCAGCCACCTGATAAAAGTAAGTTTGATACAAAAAGAAAGAAATACACACTCCACAGGCAGAGTGTGGGCCGGCCCCAGAGAAAGTGAGCAACCACTCTGCCTTCTGCCAGGATTCAGCTTTTATAGTTTCACTAACTAATATATATTCAGGCTATGTAATGAATATTCAACTAAGGGGTTGGTTCCCAGCTATGGAACATAGTCTTGCACATGCTCAGTTGGTCTCCTTTTAGGGCGTGTCCATTGGTCAAATTCTATCACATGCACTAGATACATTCAAGAATATTCTGTGCTCTTTAGCACCTCAAGTGGAAGATCATTCAAAGGACAAACTCTTTTCCACTGACCATGCTGGGTCCCTGGGGTCATATAAGCCTGTATAAATTCCTTTTACTGAGCATGCTGAGGTTTGCATAAGTCCGCCCCTTGTGTTCTAAATCTCTCCATGTTGGTGCTGAAAATAGGTCCAATAAGCAACAGTAACTCTCCTTTAGGGGAGGGCCTAGAGGAGGGGCCTAAGACCTTGGGGAGTGGCTTGAAGCCCAGAGGTGTGTTCTCAAACCCCAACCCATGGAAACTAAGCACCTCCTCTCTCACTTGCATATCTAAAAATGTATTCTTCCTTTCAGACTTGGCTAACTTGGGGGATGAGTATAGAACTCTAAGCTAAATGTCTTTCCTTCAGAATTTTGAGTCTTGCTCCACTATCTTCTAGCTTCCAGTTTTGCTATTGAGGAGCTCAATGCTATGTATATATATTGTTTCAATGTTATATTGATTTAAGTTTTTTTTTTCTCTCAGAAACCTTTTTTTGGGTGGGCAGGGTGGCTGCTGGTAGGGGTATCTGAACCCCCTTGACCTTGCTATTATCAGCACCGTGCTTTCCCAAGTGAGCTACCTAGCCACCCCATCTTTCTGGGAGCTTTAGGATTACCATTTTATTTTATTTATTTATTTATTTGGCTAGCCGCTATGGGGAACCCAACCCTTGACCTTGGTGTTATAACACTGCACTTTAACCAAATGAGCTAACTGGCTGGCCCTATTTTATTTATTTATTTTTAAAGCGTATGTTAGCAAGCATTTAATGAACCTGCCATGATGTGGCTTCAAGCCACCAGGATACAGACCCCCCCGCCACACTACACATACCCTTAATCTTCTCCTTAGCTCTTCTGCTGAAGAATTTGCGTTCACAATGACAGTGTGCTTTGGATCTCTCCTTTCCACAGAACTTTGTAGTAGCCCCAAAATACATCAGTGATTAGAGCTGCTCCAGTCTTGTTTTGGGCAGAATTTACCCATCTAGTCACTGACCAAGGTCAACAATTTATCAAGATTGACAGGCAGACGATCTGGTTCCTCTATAAGTGGTAATGCCTCATACCAACTTCCCCAGAGTAACTGGGTGATACTTGTCGAAGTTGATACTGTGGTGATGCGTGCCACCAGCATTACCCTGGCCTCCCCATGCTTCCCGTGCTTGCTGATGTGGCTGTGGCTCACATGGCCCTGAAGTTTACAGGTCTTTTTGGGTCTGGAGGGCTTGGCAGCGGTAGAAATGAAAGTGGTGTTCTGAAATTTTAAAGTGGTGGGTATTGCTGTAGGTTTTCTTCATTGTGGCGAGGGAACTCAGTGTTCTTTTTCCATCTAGAAATCTGTGTCTTTGTTTTTTGGGATATTTTCTTCAGTTATTTTTCTATGCTCTCTGCAACGACTATTCTATCCTGGATTGGTCCTCTAAGTTTCTTTCTTTCTTTTTTTTTTTTTTTGGCAGCTGGCCAACACCAGGATCTGAATCCTTGACCTTGGTGTTACAGGTGGTGCTCTAACTGATTGAGCTAACTGGCCAGCCTCTTTTTTCTATTTTACTTTTTATCTTTTTGCCATAGTTTCTTGGGAGATTTTCTCAACTTTATTGTTTAAATTCTAATGAATTTTTTAAAATGTATTATGCTTTTCATTTGTAAGCAGTCTTTTTTCTGATTGTTTCTTTTTTCAGCATCTTGTTCTTTGTGAATCTCATACCTTCTCTAATCTGTATAAGGATTTTAATTATAGATTTTTGAAGGTTCCTTCTGATCTATATATTGTCTCTAGATTTCTTTATTCTTTTTGATTGTTTGCACTGCTCTCTTTCATGTACACAGCTTTCTTCAAACGTCTAGGAAACTTTGGTTTTTCAGATTTTTAAGTGAGGCACTACAACATCGATTGGAAGATTTTTTTGTGTGCAGTTAATTTTATTGCCTGGCCAGCTAAAGTGATTAAAAATTGAACTGGCCTTTTTGTTGGGGAAATCCCAAATGTTGATGTCTGTCAATCCTCAGAAGAATCAGTCTTTTGCGCAGGGGAATAATATGGCTGCCTACTAGCATTCTGGGAACAAATGGGGCTGTACTGGGGAATATTGTCTTTTAAAACAGCTATTTTAATTCCTCAGTTTTCATTTTAATTTTTTTTTTTTTTTTAAAAAGATGTGGCCTTGGTGTTATCAGCACCGCACTCTACCGAGTGAGCCACAGGACGGCCCTTCATTTTAATTTTTATTGTACTTTTATTAATTTTCTTGAATGAGAAATACATACACATGGTAAACAAGTTAAAGGGTACAAAAGCATGCAGAGTAAAAAAAGTAGTCTCTCTCTTTCACCTTGTCCCCCAGCCAGCCAGTTTTCCTCTCAAGAGCATTCACTGTCACTAGTTTCTTTTTTATTTTTGTTTTTATTTATTTATTTTTTTAAAAAGATGACCAGTAAGGGAATCTTAACCCTTGACTTGGTGTTGTCAGCACCACGCTCACCCAGTGAGCAAACCGGCCATCCCTATATGGGATCCAAACCCGTGGCCTTGGTGTTATCAGCACCGCACTCTCCCGAGTGAGCCACAGGCAGGCCCCACTGTCACTAGTTTCTTGTGTGGTCTTTCTATCTGTGCGTATATACATATTGTCATGCATATGTATACAGAGTTTTAGTTTTTTTCAGAGAGTAGTAGCATAGTAGACACTGTTCTGTACAGTTTTTTTACCCCTTAATCTGTGTTTTCTTTGCTTTTGGAGGGTATGTTTCTTTTTTTAAAGTTTGTGGTTTTGTTACCTTAATAACTGTGGGTTTTATATAATATGCTTAAACTTCTCTTTCTTCAGTTAATGTTTACTGACTTCCCTCTATGAACAATTACTAAATTAGTCTTATTTTTCTTTCTTCTCCAGATATGATTATATTATTTGTATTAGTGTGGACCTATATTCCTTTAAATTATGTATACTTCTGTTACTTAATTTAATATCTTTAAGTGCTATTTTTGACCCTGTCGAAATTTTTCTTTCTTTTTCGGTCTACATTTTATAGGCACAACAATACAAATTTTTTATTGTGGTAGAATATACATAACATAAAATTTACTGTTTTAGCCATTTTTAGGTGTATAATTCAGTGCCATTAAGTACATTCACAATGTTGTGCAACCATCACCACTATCCATCTCGAGAACTTTCTCATCCTTCCAAACTGGAATTCTGTACCCATAAACAGTAACTCCCAATTACCCAAAGAATAAATCTCCATTTTCCTATAAGGTAGATCAGTCTGGAGTCCAAACCTTAATATGTAGATTTCAACTGTTTTCTTTCATTTTCAGCTCTGAGCTTCATTCCTACATTCCTTGGTTCTCATTCTGAGTTCTCCAATTTCTTAGCCATCACAGGGCAATTTAATTCATTCACATTGGTATCTTTTCTTCAAATACTTGAGTTATGGCTTTTTCTCTTCTGCTAGGTCAGTTACGATTCTTCTAATTACTTTCTGTCTTTCAAAAATATATTGATGGCTGACTGCCCCAAAAAAACAAAAACAAAAAAAAATTGAAATTTCTTATCTTTTGACAAGTTCTTTCCCATTATTTGTCCTTTTTGTTTTATACCTTTTTTATTGCTTTATTTAATTATCTTGGAGTTTCAGGAGGGAGAAGAAATCCTGTGAGGTCATCTGCCACATTTATCCAGAAATCTAAAATTATTTAATTTTAATTTTAATTTTAATTTATTTTTAATTTTTTTGTTTATTTTTTAAAAATTTTTATTGAATCATAATTTAATTATACATATTTTAGGGGTTCAACATTGACATATGTTTATCAGATCAATATTACTAGCATATATTTTGTTACAAATTGTATTTATTCTTTATGCCCCTTGTCCAATCTCTCCCCATCTGCCTCTCCCTCCCCCCTCCCCCGTCTAATTACCTTAGATTTCTTCTCTCCTTCTGAAAGAATAATGGTTACTCTGTTGATTTGTTGCCTAGATGGTCTATCTAATGCTGAGAGGTGTGTTCAGGTCCCCCAATATTATCGTAGAACAGATGCTTCCTCTTTCACTCTGGAATGGGCTTTGGGGAGAGAGACATCCTCTTCTTTTCTTTGGTCTCTGCTGGTGACTATCCTTGTGTCAGTGCACTCCAGTGGCTGGCTGACCACCTGCATGGTGGTTGTGGTGTGTAGCCGCTTTCACAGCAGCCGTGGTTATTGTGGTGGCTATGGTGGGCCACTCACATGGAGGTGATGTTTTTGACATGCTCCTTGGCACTGGCTGTGTGCCTGTCTATGGGCGGGGGTCCGGTCCTCATCTTCATGCCTTGGGTCCCAGGCAGGCCCGGAAGGACTGGTGGTGTGCCTGGTTGTTGGGGGGGAGGGTCTTGTCCCCGGATCCATGCCTCAGGTCCCTGGGCAGGCCCTGAGGTGCAGACATTGTGCCTGGGCAGGAACTAAATTTTTGTCCTTTGCTTACTTCTAAAGTGGGGGAACTTCCTTAGGGGACCAGTACTTGCACTCTGTGGTTGAGCTGAATCACTGCTTTGTTGCTGCTTCCCTAGGGAAGGCTTTTGTGCAGCTCAGGTTATAATGGTAGACTTTATAGGTACTTCTGGCTCTCTAGAGACCCAGTGCACCTGGGTTGTGTAGAAACTCTGATCTGGGACTGAGTCTTTTCATCAAACTGCACCCCATGCAATTCTGTATTCCTTACCAGTCTCCCCTGAGTGGTCCTATGCTGATTGGGGGCCAGATCAGCTGTCCTTGCTGTGCCCCAGTGTTCCCCTGATGGGCCTGTTTCCACCACTGCTCGTGCTGCAAACACTTCCCGTGGGATGGGCCATGTGCCAGTCCCTTGTGATGACTCACCTGCCTCTGAGTGGCTCCCTTTTTCCAGTTGTTGTGGCTCCTTGCTCCTATGTGGGTCCATGGGAACCACATTAGTGGTCTTGCTGGTCTGGGGGCCACCAAGGCACTCTTCTCCCCTGCCACCTCCAAGCAACTCCATCCAAAGGGCACAGCTGTGGCTTTTGCCAGCTCCTGCTCTGTGCACTTAGCAGCTCCAGCCTTAAAGTGGCCATGGCACAAAACGGTCGGAGTGGTTTTTTCTTTCTCTCATCGTGGCTTCTCCTGCCTTCATGAACTCTGTCAGTCTCTCCTCCTCTTCCCCTGAGCTCTAGCAGCCCCAGCTTGGCTGTTGTTGCTTTTTTATAAAAAAAAGTGGTTGTTTTGTGGGAAAGAGTGATGCTGGGGACCGTCTATTCTGCCATCTTGACCGGAAGCCCCTAAAATTATTTAATTTTTAAAATGAACTGAGACTAACTTCTCAGTGCCAATACAATTTTAGAAACATTTTGTATTAGTTCAGTTCTGTTGCTTATAACAACATACTTGGAATTGGGTGATTTATAAATAAAAATGAAATTTATTGCTTACAGTTTCTGAGGCTAGGAAGTCCAAGTCCATCTGATGGTGGCAACAGTGACCCAGGGGTCTCACATTGTAAGAATGGTAGAAGCAGAGAGAACAGAGAAAAGGAAAGATTCTCCTCTCCTTTTAAAGCCCTTAGAACCACACTCTTGACCACAGTTTTTAATACATTCACTATGGCATGTTCCTACAATTTAATCACTTCTTCAAAGCTCCACCTTTTAATTACCATAATAGGATTTCCCATCCTCTTAACAGTCACAGTGGTGACCAAGTTTCTAATACATAAAACTTAGGGGACACAATTCAAGCTTCAGTGAGTTTTGGGGGGAAATAATTTAATCCACTACCCATATGAATTGGTGATAACTCACTGTGTACTCCCTACCAGATTTCTTGGATTCTTGAGATGGATAACATATAGCCTTCTTACTATTTTAAATTCTTTCTCTGGGGCAGGGGAAATAGGGAGGTATTGGCCAAAGGGTACAAATTTTAAGTTATACGATGAATAAACTCTAGTGATCTAATGTACAGCATGATAACTATAGTTAATAATATATCGTATACTTGAAATTTGCTAAAGGAGTAGATCTTTGTGTGTGTGTGTATGAGTGTGTGTTTTCTCTTTTGAAGGGAGTAGATCATAAGTGTTCTCACCACACACCTAAAAAATGCTAACTGTAAGATGATGGGTATGTTAATTACTTGATTATGGAAATCATCACACAAGGTATACTTAAATTAAAGCAGCATGTTGTATACCTCACATATATACAGTTTGTTATTTGTTAATCATCCCTCAATAAACCTCAAAAAAAACAAATATTAAAAAAATTTTTTTCTCAAGTTTCTAAAGACTGAAAGTTCTTCTGTAGGTCTAATGTAATATAGTCACATTTCATTTTGATTTGTGCTAACAATTAGAAAATGGTTTTGCTCTTTTTTTCCTGTCATTTAGTGGATGGAAGCACTATATATGCACAGAGTGTGATTCTGACTACTGGGACATTTCTGAGAGGCATGGTTGTAATTGGATTGGAGATACATCCAGCAGGACGTTTAGGGGACCAGCCTTCTATAGGGTTGGCTCAGACTCTGGAGAAATTGGGGTTTGTGGTGGGAAGGTTGAAGACTGGGACTCCGCCTCGAATTGCCAAGGAGTCTGTTAACTTCAGCATTCTAAACAAGCAGACACCAGATAATCCATCCATACCCTTCAGCTTTATCAATGAAACAGTGTGGATTAAGGTAAGAAAACATATGAAAAGCTGGCTTTATAGCTGATATTGGCTATTCACAGCAAGAGGTAGCCTAACCTTTTTTTGTTTTTCTTTTTTGGGTTGCAATTCCCTTTTTTTTTTCCGAAAGATGACTGGTAAGGGGATCTTAACCCTTAGCTTGGTGTTCTCAGCACCATGCTCAGCCAGTGAGCTAACCGGCCATCCCTATATAGGATCCAAACCCATGGCCTTGGTGTTATCAGTACCGCACTCTCCCGAGTGAGCCACGGGTCAGCCCTTGCAGTTCACTTTATATCACTATTGTATACAGTACAAAGAAGTGATCTTTAAAATGATTAGCTAACTTGGCTAGTTAGGTGTTTCCTCATAAATTCTTAAATTTCATTATTTCTATAACTTTACCTATTTTGTAAGTTAAACTTTTTGAAACAATTTCAGACTTACAGAAAAGTTGCAAGACTATTACAACAAACTCCTATAAACCCTTGAAAGTCACCCATTGTGAATATTTATCTCCATATATCGATAGACATATATGTATATTTAATGTATAAGACAGTAATATACACATTTATTCTTATTCTTTTTTTCTGGAGCGTTTGAAAGTAAGTTGCAGACATCATGAGCCTTTAGATCTAAATACCTCAACCTGTATTTCAATAAGTACAAGAATATCCTCTTATATAACCTCAGTACAATGATGAAATTTGGAAAATTTAATGTCGATACAATGCTGTTGTCTAATATAAAGTCCATAGTCAGATTTTGCTAATTGTCCCAATATTGTCCAAAACAACCTTTTTTTTTTTTTTTTTTTTAAGATGACCAGTAGGGCCAGCCCATGGCTCACTTGGGAGAGCATGGTGCTGACAACACCAAGTCAAAGGTTAAGATCCCCTTACCCGGTCATCTTTTAGATAGATAGATAGATTAGATAGATAGATTAGATAGATAGGTAGATAGATAGATTAGATAGATAGATTTAAAAAAAAAAGATGACCGGGTAAGGGGATCTTAACCCTTGACCTGGTGTTGTCAGCACCACGCTCTCCCAACTGAGCAACCGGCCATCCCTATATAGGGATCCGAACCTGTGGCCTTGGTGTTATCAGCACCACACTCTCCCAAGTGAGCCACAGGCTGGCCCTCAAAACAACCTTTTTTCCCCAGTCTATTATCATGTATTGTGTTTGTCATTTCTCTTTGATCTCTTTAATCTGGAACAGTTCCTCAGTCTTTTGTGATATTGCCATTTTTCATTTTTGCCTTCTTTTTTTTTTTGGATGACTGGGTGGTTCCGGGATCCAAACCCTTCACTGTGGTGTTATAATACTACACTCTAACTGAGTGAGCTAAACAGCCAGCCCCAATGATACTGACATTTTTGAAGAGTATAGGCCACTTTTGCCTACATTTTGAGTTTTTAAAGAAAATGTATATTTTGTGTTTAGAACTGAGGATTAATAATTTTAATAATTGATGGTCCTAGCTTCTGGTAAGTGTTATCCTGGTGAGTGGCTCCAAATACTATTCTGTTACTTTGAACAAGTCAATTTTTACTTTGGTAAAATGCAAATTATTATACTTTCTTCGTGTGTATATTTTTTAACTTTTATTGTATAATTTTGGGTTAACACAAAATAGGAAAATCGTATAATGAATCCATGTGTCCATCACTGAGCTTCAACAAATAATATTTTGGCATTCTTGTACCGTCTTTCCTTCTCAGCAATTTCTTCTTGATGGGTTTTCAAGCAAAGAACCCAGTCATCACATCATTTCACTTATAAATACTTTGGTATATGCCTTTAATAGATAAGAACTTTTTAAAAACAACCACAACACCATTGTCACACCCAACAAAACATAATTTAAACATCATCTTATATTCAATTTTCTCTAATTGTTTCAAAAATGTTTTCTATAGTTGTTTTATTTGAACCAGGAACCAAATAAGGTTCACACATTGCATTGGATGATATGTTTTGTAACAGTTCCCCCCCTCCCACACACAAACTTTTTAAACATTTTGTATATGGTGGAAATGGAGTTATTTGTTTTCTAGAACTTCCAATATTCTAGATTTGTCTGATTGTATCCCTCTGGTACCCTGAACACGTAAACTGGTAGTTAGGTTCAGTTTTTGGATTGTTTATTTATTTTTGGCAAGAATATTTCATAAGTAGTACTGGATATTATGAATAGATATCTATAAAAGTAAGTACATAGTGTGTGGAATTTATTTGAATAAAAAGAAAACTATTAAGGAAGCAAAACAGCATTGTATCTGGTTACTGTTTTTTAGCCAGAAGATCAGCTGCCTTGTTACTTGACTTACACCAACCCTAGAGTAGATGAGATTGTTCTTGAGAATCTTCACCTTAATAGTCATGTTAAGGAAACTACAAGAGGACCCCGGTAAGGACAAAACATCATTGCTTAGTTACTTTAAGAAGTGATGTCAATCCTCTTTTGTTTGCCTTAGTTTTTTTTTTTTTTATTTCCATCTCCTATTCTAGATACTGTCCCTCCATTGAGTCAAAGGTTTTGCGTTTTCCAAACCGTATACATCAGGTTTGGTTGGAACCTGAAGGAATGGATTCTGACCTTATCTACCCCCAAGGGTTATCTGTGACGCTACCAGCTGAGTTACAAGAGAAAATGATCACATGCATCAGAGGCTTGGAGAAAGCTAAAATAGTACAGCCAGGTAAATACAGTCATAGCTGCCCTTCAGTGTAGGTTTAGCATTGCTTTAGCAATCACTGAGGAGGTCTTAGCTACAGTCATTGTAGCCTTGAGACTTAGAAGATGAAGTGCAACATCTGTACATTTAAAATCATCTTTATTTTTGAAGGACATTTAATGGTAATCTTTGCATCTCTACCTCGAGGCGAAAAATCCAGCTCTGTTTTTTACTTATTTTATGCCATTTATTCATTGGTCAGGCTATGGTGTTCAGTATGATTACCTGGATCCCCGTCAGATCACTCCTTCCCTTGAGACTCATTTGGTTCAACGGCTCTTCTTTGCTGGACAGATAAATGGCACCACTGGTTATGAGGAAGCTGCAGCTCAAGTAAGAGGTGTTCAAATGTTACTGTAAACCAAAAGGGACTATTTAATTGGTGTTCCTCCTTTTAATGTCTGTTCCGTAACTACAGATCTTAGGTAATAGAAGACTGTTGCTGTTTCAGGGTATATGTAGATGACTATCATATATAATGGGATTTTTAAAAATTGTGACTTTATTACTTGTGACTTTATTACTCTTTTCTGAGCTCCTAGATCTGATATTGTACTATGATTAGATTTATTGTATTGCTTCTGAGCTTTAAAAAAAAAAATTACTTCTCTTAACATCACTATTTAAAATTATCATGTTATTATTCCTTTTAAGTGGGAAATTATGTTACTTTTATTTGTAAGTGGGAAAAGACTAGAAAAGCCTCCCAGGTGGGTTTTTTAAAAAGATTAGCCCCCAGGCTTATCAGATATTTCAGAAAACGATGAATCATAGCATGCTAAAGTGGTACATTACCAATATTCTGTTTCTGAATGTGAATCACATTTTGTACTTATTAAATCCCTTATAGGCAGTGCCTGCTTTCTTCCTGTCGCATGCTGTTCTCTCCAGTTAGTGTTCTGAATAGGTTAGCTATTTGTTTCCTTCATAATGGCCATTTAAACATTTCGGTCCTCTTGTAGGGTGTGATAGCTGGAATCAACGCCAGTCTTCGGGTCAGTGGCAAGCCTCCCTTTGTCATTAGCCGAACAGAAGGCTATATAGGAGTCTTGATTGATGACCTCACCACACTGGGCACCAACGAACCATACCGCATGTTTACCAGCCGAGTGGAGTTCCGATTGTCACTGCGCCCTGATAATGCCGACAGCCGGCTCACATTCCGAGGTAACTCTTCACTGAGTCCTGCAACCTGATTTATGCTTCTTTAAAACCTGTCTCATTATGTTCTGTCTCTCCCTTCCCTAGGGTATAAGGAAGCTGGTTGTGTGTCCCAACAACGATATGAAAGAGCTTCTTGGATGAAGTCTTCTTTAGAAGAAGGCATTTCTGTGTTGAAATCCATTGAGTTTTCCAGCTCTAAATGGAAAATGTTAATCCCAGAGGTTTCTATAAGTATGAATAGAAGTCTGCCTGTCAGGTATGCACTTTTAGTATAGGCCTTTCTCACTCAATACAGGGAGAGACATTACCTATAGGCCCCCTTCCTACACATTTTAAATGAATGTGGCTTTCTTTTGGATTCTTTTCAAAATCCTTTAGATGAAATTCATCTGTTCACTCAGTGTTATATATGATTCTTTTGTTGTTGTTGTTCTTTTTGAGAGCGGCTGCACCGTGCTCAGCCAGTGAGCGCTGTGAGTGAACCGGTCATCCCTATATAGGATCTGAACCCGTGGCGGGAGTGCTACTGCGCTCCCAGCGCTGCACTCTCCAGAGTGCGCCACGGGCTCGGCCCTATATATGATTCTAAATTATTATTTTTATTTTGTATATAATTTCTCTGTAGCTCCCATTGAGTTCTTTTGGCTTTCCTAAGATTTAGAGTAGAGGGCCCAAACTAAGAAATATAGTTATCTGCTTTCTTTTCTAGACTTGGAGCAGTTGAGGTGGTCTCAGCTTGTCCATGAGTTATAGCAAGGAAACCTGTTCGATAAAACAAAACAATGTCATTCATTCTTTGGACTTACTTGAAGAGTCTCTTGCTGCATTTTAGGGGGTTTTTTGTCCTTATTTTAATTATTCTATTTCTTTTTTAATTTTTAATTTTTTTATTGAAACGTAATTGATTATATATATTTGTGGGGAACAGAGTTGAATATCAATACCTGTGTGCAATATGTGATGCTGAAATCAGGATAATTAGTATATTCATCATTACAAAATGTAATCATTCTTTGTGTCCATTAACCAATTTCTCACTAATTCCCCCTCCCCATCATCATCATTCTATTTATATGGCTCTGAGTCTAAAGGACATTAATATAGAGCATTTTTCCTTCAAAGATATGTTCCTAAGGACCTGCATAATTCAAAACCTATATATTTCACCACTGATTTTTCCCGCTTGAAAAAAATTTAAACTAATTAGGGTAGGAGAGGATGCCCAGAGGGCATAATCTGCAATCTTTGTAGCTTAAAATCACTTTATGCACATTATGGTGGCATTGATCTTGCAGCTATCTCCAGTATATTTTTCCCCTTTTTAAGCCCCCATTTTCCTTATGATACTTTTTGTTGACTTAGAAGTATACCCATTTTAATAATTGTAATAGTAAGTACTAAAGAACCAGCATAGTGCTCACCCAAATGAGAGGATCTCATTCACAAAATGGTCGCCTGGTTCATAAATAAGGATGGTGTATGTCTTAGTCTGTTTGGGCTGCTGTAACGAAATACCTTAGGCTGGGTAATTTATAAACAAAAGAAATTTATTGCTCACAGTTCTGGAGGCTGGAAGTCCAAGATCAAGGCACCAATAGATTCAGTGACTGGTGAGGGCTTGCTCTTTGTTTCAAGATGGCACCTTCTTGCTGTGTCCTTACATGGCAGAAAGGGCAAATAAATTCCCTCAAGCCTCTTTTATAAGGGCACTAATCCCATTCATGAAGGCAAAGCTCTTATGACCTAATCACCTCCTAAAAGCCCCATCTCTTAATACTATTACATTGGATATGAGGTTCCAACATATGAATTTTGGGGGGACAGCAACATTCAGACCATAGAAGTGGATTTATGTTTACACCAGCCAAGTGGCATTGGGAAATGGTAGTAGTGTGAACAGTTTACAGTTTACTCAGCTTTTAGCTGTTTGTTCCTTTGTTTCAGTTTAGGAGGGTTCACATTATTTCAAAATTTGGATGAAGAATTTATAACACTATGCTTTGTTTTTTATAAAATATTGTACTATTTCAAGTTTATAAGTGGAACTTGCATTGAATGTGACTAATGTGTAATTAGTTAATACTGAGAGTGGGGGAAGTGATCATTTTCAACACAGTTTTAAGATGCTAATTGATGAATAAAAATGTGAAAAGAAGGCTATCACCTTTATCTTTTTACCAAACTAATCCCATGAGTAACGATTTTGTTTAGGTGATTTTTTAAAAAGTAATTTGGCTAAAGATTTCCTTTTAAATTCATGTATTTTTCCTTTCAGGAGAAAACAATCTACATATTTGTTTTCAGGAGAATATTTGCAGTCTAGCATTCAGCCTTTCTAAATGAACTCACTTTATCAATGCTTAGATATATAAATCTAAAAAAACAGAAAACTTGGTCAGAATACATTTATTGCATTTACTGCATGTATGCCAGCCATTGACAAGTTGAACCAGACTTTGAACAGGCATTTTAACAGAAGAGATACACAAATGCATGCATGCACATACACACATTTTCTGTCAGGATTACAGGGAGACACACAGATGTGGTAAGTAGCTTAGAGATTCTCTCCTAGGTTCTGTTGTATGTAGTATGCTAATTTTTCCTTTCTATGCCAAAGCTCTGTACTCTGCTTATGCTTGATTCAGAGTAAGTCTTCAAGTTTGGACTTGATAACAGCTCAAAGCCTTTTAAACAAATTATTTAAAAACTAAAAAAATTTTTTAAAGTTAGGTGGTCAAAGTCTTTGCCTTGAGGTTGCAGTCTTGCTAGATTCCAAGATAACTTTTTGGGGGGGGTTAGTCGTTAGGAGGTGTGTTCTAGTATATTCTACAATTTCTGAAAGGACAACCATTTCCCTTTTGGAGATTAGAATTACATGGTTGCATTTTAGCTTATTTGATGAGTCCTCTATAATGGATTGACCTAATTCATGTACTAGAGTACAACAAACTGATCAGTTACTTGTGGTGAGAGATTTCTGGACTTTCTTAGAGCAGGCCATCTGAAGAAGAGATAAGGAGTCAAGCATCTGCAAAGGGTGGTAATGCATGATTATGATAATAGAATGAGCTGTCAGTATGGTTGCCTAGGAGGCCTGAGAAGACTAAGGAGCTTGGCTGGGCACTACTAACATTTTGTTGACTTGCTAACTAATTGGTTTTGGGTAGACAGAATTCATCAAAAAGATAATGTAGGCTGGCCGGTTAAGCTCAGTTGGCTAGAGCATAGTGTTGATAACAGCAAGGTCCAGGATTCAATCCCTGTGGCCAGCTAGCTCCCAAAACAAACAAACAAAAACAATCTATTAAAAGAGGGAAAGATGTTTAAGTTAGTAAATAGAAATAAAATTAATTAAGGGCTGGCCTGTGGCTCACTCAGGAGAGTTCTGTGCCGATAACACCAAGGCCACGGGTTCGGATCCTATTTAGGGATGGCCAGTTAGCTCACTGGCTGAGCGTGGTGCTGACAACACCAAGCCAAGGGTTAAGATCCCCTTACTGGTCATCTTTAAAAATAAATAAATAAAATAAAATTAATTAAGGCAGTAAATGCAGGGAATCTGTACAGGTCAGTGAGGTCTGTGGAAACGAAATGAGAAAGAACAGAATATTTTGCAATCTTGGGACCACAGGAATGAGAAGGGCAGTATCAGAGCTCAACCAAGTAGAATCAAGGTCTCAGCAAAGATGGAATTATTGTGCACTGCTCTTAGTTGCCCTGGTAATAACCGTTTTTTTTTAATTGTGTTAAAAAATATATACAAAGGGCCGGCCCAGTGGCACACTGCTACAGTGTGCCACTTTGGGAGCACGGCGGCGCTCCTGCTGAGGGTTCGGATCCCACATACAGACCGGTTCCCGCTCACTGGCTGAGCGAGGTGCGGGGGCAACACCGAGGGTTGCGATCCCGTTGCCGGTCCCGGTCCAGTACAGGCGCGACACTGAGGGTTGCAGTCCGTTGCCGGACACGAAAAAAGACAAAAAGGAAAAAAAATATATATATACAAAATTTACCATCTTAACCATTTTTAAATGTATAGTTCAGTAGTGTTAAGTGTATTCACATTGTTGTGAAATAGATCTCCAGGACTTTTTCATCTTGCAAACCTCAAATTAAAACTCTAAACATTAAATACTAACTCCTACTTCCTCCCTTTCCCCAGCCCCTGGTAATTACCATTCTACTTTCTGTGAATTTGACTTTAGATACCTCATAAGTGGAATCATACAGTGTTTGTCTTTTTGCAACTGCTTTATTTCACTTAGCATAACATCCTTAAGGTTCATCTGTGATATAGCATGTGACAGGATTTTCTTCCTTTTTAAGGCTAAATGATATTCCACTGTGTTTATATTTATCCGTTCATTTGTTGATGGATGCTTGGGTTGCTTCCATCTTTTGACTATTGTGAGTAATGCTGCTGTGTACATGGGAGTACAAATATCTCTTTGAAACCCTGCTTTCAGTTCTGTTGGATGTATACCCAGAAGTGGAATTGCAGCATCATATTGTAGTTCTATTTTTAATTTTTGATGAACCTCCATATTGTTTTCCATAGTGGTTGCATCATTTTACAATCCCACTAACAGTGCACGAGGGTTGCAGTTTCTCCAAATCCTCACCAACACTTATCATTTTGTTTTTTTGATAGTAGCCATCCTGATGGGTGTAAGGTGATTCATTGTGGTTTTGATTTCATTTTTCTGATTATGAGTGCTGTTGACACCTTTTCATATGGTTGTTAGCCATCTTTTCATATCCTTGTCCATTATATTTGCAGAAATGTCTATTCAAGTCTTTTGCCCATTTTTTAATCGGGTTGGTTTTTTATATTGTTCAGTTATAGGAGTTCTTTTTATATTTTGGATATTAACCCCTTACCAGATACATGATTTGCACTATTTTCTTCCATTCCATAGGTTGCCTTTACACTCTGTTCACTGTGTCCTTTGATGCACACATTTTTTAAAAAAGTTTGATGTAGGGGCTGGCCCATGGCTCACTTGGGAGAGTGTGGGGCTGATAACTCCAAGGCCATGGGTTTGGATCCATGTATAGGGATGGCCGGTTAGCTCACTTGGGAGAGCGTGGTGCTGACAACACCAAGTCAAGGGTTAAGATCCCCTTACTGGTCACCTTTTTTAAAAAATAAAAAGTTTGACGTAGTCCCATTTGTCTATTTTTGCTTTTGTTGCCTGTGCTTTTGGTGTCATAACCAAGAAATCATTGCTAAATCCAATGTCATGAAGATTTTCTGTATGTTTTCTTCTAGGAATTGTATAGTTTTGGGTCTTATATTTAGGTCTTTAATTCATTTTGTGTTAATTTTTGTATATTTTGTAAGGTAGGGGTCCAACTTCATTCTTTTGCAATGTGGACATCCAATTTTCTCAGCATCATTTGTTGAAGAGACTGTCCTTTTACCATTGAGTGGTTTGGGCACACTTGTCAAGATCATTTAATCATATATGGAAGGGTTCATTTCTGGATTCTCTGTTCTATTTCATTGGTCTGTATGTATCTTTATGCCAGTACCATGCTGTTTTTGATTACTGTAGCTTTGTAATTTATTTTAAATCAGGAAGTGTGATTCATCCAACTCTGTTCTTTTTTCAAAATTGTTTTGGCTATTTGGGGTCCCTTGAGATTCCATGTGAATTTTAGGATGAAATTTTCTATTTCTGCAAAAAATGCCATGGCTATAACCTTTTAAATGAGTTATAATGAAAACCACATGTAAATGATGTAAATAATAATTAAGAGAGCGATAAATGGCCTAGTTAGCTGCACTTTAAGGGAGAGTCTGGGGTTGAGCTGGGGGTGGGGGTGGGTGGTATGGTATCAAGAGGAAAAACCTAAGATCAGTATAAAAAGGATTAAACTGGTCAAAGGAGCACCAACACTTATGAAGATTAAAGGTACCTAAAGTTTTTCAGTAGTTTGATCTCAACAAATACCAGTGAATCGAGTTATTAGAAATCTCACCTGTCTACCTATAGCATTAATACTTAGGCATGTTCTTTTGGTGACCTACGTAAGTCATCTGAGTATTTTAGCAATGATCCCCATTAGCTGCATACTATTTGTTGCTCTCCTCTCCCCTTGCTTTGGCCCAGGAAGCTGTAGCCCATTCAGAGTGGGTAACAGAAGCAGAACTGAGAATAATTCTCAAAAGTTCACATGTGGTGAAAAACGAAATGGAGATTATATCAAGTTAGAGGGCTGGCCAGTTAGCTCACTTGGTTAGAGTGTGGTGCTGATAACACCAAAGTCAAGGGTCAGATCCCCTTACTGGCCAGCCACCAAAAAAAAAAAAAAGGAAAAATAAATTAGGAGAAAATATCAGACTGGAAGAATACTATGAGCCTGCATATCATTTTTATCACTTTGTTTTGCAAAGACTTAAAACATGCTCACGACAGTCTCTTGTTCTTCCTTAGGAGTTTTATAAAAGAAAGCAGGAGACTTCCTTAGTGGTTCCCAGCATGCAAAAGGATGATTCATTCACACAACACTAGGAGTTAATATGGCTTAGATGTGAAGCACATTCCCTATTCTTAGGAACTCAATGAAACTCTTGTTATCAGAGGATATTCTCTCCTTACACAAAAGGGAGGAGAAATGGATTGTAGCCATGCCACCCTTACCGACAACTTAATTCTCATGACAGGGAGTTGGAGAGAGTCAAATATTAAATCTTATTGAGGTCCTACCGTTTTACAGATGCTGCTGCATTTGCTCACTGTACTTGTAAAGAACTAAGAGTATCTTTTGGTATTATTTATTCTGAGATTTGGTATTATTCAAAAAAATCTTGTTCTTAATCTGCCTTTTATGATATGGATCCTTATGTTAATGAAACTTGTGCATTTGCAGAGCTCTGGATGTTCTGAAGTATCAGGAAGTTGACATGGAGTTACTAGCCAAGGCTGTTCCAGAGCCCTTGATGAAGTATACTAACTGTAGAGAGCTAGCTAAAAGACTGAAAATAGAAGGTAAACAATCTTTTTTTACTTAAGATCCCTGTATACTCTCTTTTCCATTTGTTTGGTTTTTTTTTTTCCTTTTTGTCTTTTTTTCATGTCCGGCCACGGATCGCAACCCTCAGTGCTGCACCCGCACCTCGCTCAGCCAGTGAGCGGGAACCGGTCTGTATGTGGGATCCGAACCCTCGGCGGGAGCGCCACTGCGCTCCCAAGCGGCGCACTGTAGCAGTGCGCCACCGGGCCAGCCCTCTCTTTTCCGTTTGTGAAAATTATGAATGGACAGCAGATTCATGAAGACCCTATGCCAAGAGGAGCCATTATTACCACAGGATAAGCATAGTGGTAGGCTCAGGTTCCACCTCATACCCACTAGATGAGAATCTGCATTTTAACATGATTCTCAGGTGATTTGTGTGCACATTTCAAGTTTGAGGAGTGCTACATAAAGCCCTCTGTTAAAAAAAAAACTAACTTATTTTTTTACCTTGAGCTTCCATTTTACATGCTCCCAACCTAATGTTCTAATAATGAAAAAACATAAAACTATCTTTGGCTTTGACAATATATTGGAACAGTCTAGCATTGGCAAATATTTATTTTGTATCAGGCAAAGAAATCCAGAATCTTTATTTTAATACAAGTCATTTTTTCCTGGGGTAGAAAATTATATAGTAAAAAAGGCAGGGAACAGGGTGATACGGAGAAAAGGATAGGAAAAGTTGGATGATGGTGTGCTCTTCAAACAGGAAGACTTTAAGCTCCTTGGGGACTGGCCAGGGTGGTGATAATAGTGTGTTCCTCCTAGCAGTGGTGTTTTCTTTCAGTTCCACAGAGGTTTATCACCTTGCTATGCTTTGGCTATACATGTAGCACATGACTCAAGTACTACCTACCATCCTATCACACAAGTTTTCAAAAGTCTAGCAACAAAAGGAAACTCACCAGAAACTCTAGAATTGTTCTTCTAAATGATCAAACAATAGTAATATATGTATTAATGTACTAGAAGTAATATTGACCTTTTATTTCACCATCATGATTTCTCTGTTAAATAAAAATTACCAATTAAACATTTAGGGCTGTTAGCACATGGAAAAGGTGATTAAGTTATATATTTTAAACTTGGTTTCAATTTTACTCTATTCAATGAATCACCGGGTTCAGGTTAGAATAATCCAGAACCGTTATCATTAACTTGTTTATGGGAAACCCTGACTTCAGCCATGGAGTAGCTTGTTCTTTAAAGATTGTGGCATGTATCCAAAAAACTTAAAAATTAAAAAAAAGACTCTAGGGCCGGCCCATGGCTCACTTGGGAGAGTGTGATGCTGATAACACCAAGACCACAGGTTCAGTTCCCTATATAGGGATGGCCGGTTAGCTCACTTAGGATAGCGTGGTGCTGACAACACCAAGTCAAGGGTTAAGATCTTCTTACTGGTCATCCTTTTAAAAAATAAGATAAAATAAATTAAAAATAAAAAAAGTACTCTAGTGTCTATCCATGGCTTAAAAGAAACCACACTGAATTAAAATATAACACATATCAGTGATTTTCAAATTGATACTTGAATTCCCCCACCATTAGACAAATTTCTTGAGAGTAGAAATCAATTTCAGATTCTTCTTTGTTATCTCTCTTGTTTTGCTATATATATTTGTTCCAACCAAGATTTGCACTGACAGGGAAATCAAAAATTTTTTTTACTTTGATTTTTCCAGGTATTTGAAATGAAAAGGACATGCATTAAACTACCACACAGAATGTTATAGTTAGTGTGAAAGATACTTACCTGATTTTAGTCTCAGTTTCCTCTTCTGCCAAAGGAAACACCCACCTCACCTGTCTCATGATGTTGACATGAGTGTTGAATGAGATGATGCATGTAAATAATAGCTCTTTGGAAATTGTAAAAGGCTATATACAAATGTAAGTTGTTAGTATAATCTGGGTATCATAACATAATTCTAATTTTGTTCACCAGCCACTTATGAATCAGTAGTGTTCCATCAGCTACAAGAAATCAGGGAAGTTCAGCAAGATGAAGCCCTCCAATTGCCAAAAGACTTAGATTATTTGACTATCAGGGATGTGTCCTTGTCTGATGAAGTTCGAGAGAAACTCCATTTCAGTCGCCCACAGACGGTAAGAAAACAGGCAGTAGAATAAGGACAAATTATAAAGAGCCCGTGCTTTAATTTTTTAAACCTGGTCCATATATAACTAATGTTTTATTTAATCATAAGAAACTTAACTTCATATTTTCCTATATCTCTGTGTATGATAGATGTTGGAATGTCTCTGTGAGAGATTATAAAGCTTTGTCTAAATAATTTGCTGGAATAACCTGGAGTCAAAAATTGGTTTGACTGTAATCCCAACTGTGTGCTAAACCATCAGTGCAAACTAGTATATATGCAGAGCTAGAAAAAAACCACACTAGGTGAAAATATAACACATATTAGGAGTTTCTAAACCACTACTTGCATTCCTTTCTAGAGGTTCCATAATGTTGCCTTGGGAGCTAATGTAAGGAAGAGCTCCCCCACCCCGTGCATCAGCCTAATGTGTATGTGTGTGTACGTGGGCGCACACACACGTGTACATTTGTATTTGCAAACAAAAACCCTTTGTTATATGGTATATAGTATCGGGCTTCTAATAAATGTTTAGAGACTGATAGGCTATATTTATTGATGCACATTTTTCCATATTTTAACATGTCTAAAATTAGGTTGTATCTTAAAAGTTGATGGTATATCATGGTTTAATGGGCAGTATTTTTTTTTTTTTTTGACAAAGGATGACCTGTAAGGGGAAGGGGATCTTAACCCTTGACTTCGTGTTGTCAGCACCACACTCTCCCAAGTGAGCTGACCAGCCATCCCTATATAGGGATCCGAACCCATGGCCTTGGTGTTATTAGCACCACACTCTCCCAAGTGAGCCGTGGGCCGGCCCTGGCAGTATTTTTTTTAGTAGTGGTTCGTAAGATAAAGGGGCATTTTACAAAAACATAGTCTGTAAAAAAAATATATTTGAAAACCTATTTTTAATCCAGTATAACATGGTATTCTTAGCAATCATGGAAACCAGGCAAATAGGCCTTAAATTTTATTATTCTGTCCCCTCCTATTGATTTTAGGTTATATTTTTATGGATAATCATAGGCAGCACTGCCCAACACAATAGCCACTAGCCAAATGTGGCCATTTACATTAATTAATATTTTATTGAATTTAAAATTCAGCTCTTTAGTCTTACTAGCCACATTTCAAATGTCTAGTAGCTACATGTAACTAGTGGCTACCATATTGGACAGCACATTATCACAGTGCAAATGTTTTTTCCCCCCCAAATCTATTTATTTATTTATTTATGTTTTGGGGTTTTTTAATTGGTTATGAATATTCATGGGGTACAAAGCAAATTGTCACCATTTGTGCCTAAGATGTGATGGCCAGATCCATACTAGCAGCATGTCTATTACCACAAATTGTGATTATACTCCGTGTCTCCCACCCAATTATCACCTCAGTAATCCCCAACTTCCCTCCCCATCCCCCTTTCCCCATTCCACTTTGTATCCCTAGGTATGTTCTCTCCCTCTGCAAGTCCAACACACCACTGTGGTCTTTCTTTCCTTTCTTCTTTAGCTCTTAGCTCTCACTTATGAGAGAGTATATACAGTATTTATCCCTCTGTGCTTTGCTTATTTCACGCAACATAAGTTTCTCCAAGCTCATCCATGTTGTTGCAAATGGGAGTATTTCATTCTTTTTTATGGCAGAGTAGTATTCCATCGTGTATATATACCATATGTTCCTTACCCAATCGTCCATTGATGGACATTTAGGTTGTTTCCATATCTTGGCTATTGTGAACAGAGCTGCGATGCACATGGGAGTGTAGGTATCCCTTCAACATGATGATTTCCATTCCTTTGGGTATATACCCAGAAGTGGGATTGCTGGATCATATGGAGGATCTATCTGTAGTTGTCTGAGAAACCTCCATACTGTTTTCCATAGCAGTTGTTCTAATTTACAGTCCCACCAACAGTGTAGAAGAGTTCCCTTCTCTCCACATCCTCACCAGCATTAGAAAATTTCAACAACAAAAAGACAAAATTTCCATCATCATAGAAAGTTCAGCTGGACAGCACTGGTCATAAGGAGTTCACAACCCCTTAGCCACAATTTCAAAATACAAAAAACTCTGACAAAAGTTTGCCACAGACTCATTTCGTAGCAAAACTGACCTCAATTGACTTGGGACTATTTGGTCTTTATACCACTTAGAGTGAATATCCATACATTTCACTGTAAAAATACACTGCAGAAATGTTAATGGGATTAACATTGTGGGTTGCTGCCCCACACATCACTGAGGATGTTACATTATGTACAGTATATACACCTAATTTCAAAAACATGTGACCTCAGATTTCAAATAAGGGACTATGGGCCTATGTTTGAAGAAAAGAATTTTATTACAATTTTTCTTAGTTTAATGGAAAAAGTAGGTACTCAAACATCTACTTTACAAGGTTGTTTTGAAGATAAGAATTATGAAAATATTTTTATAAACTACATTACATGGGTTGTATTTAGGAGGAAAATAAATGTGATTTGACATAGCTCATTTATGTTTCTCTTGTGGTTTTAATGCTTAGATTGGGGCTGCTAGTCGTATACCTGGCGTGACACCTGCTGCCATCATCAATCTGCTCAGATTTGTGAAGACCACTCAGCAAAGACCACCATTTGGGCAATGAATGAACTGCCCAAAATTGATCAATACTTATGTGATACAAACTTCGAGAGAGTTGTAGCTTTCAATTCATAGAAGACTTTTAAAGAGTATGTGAATAATTTAATCAATATTAGAGATAAGAACTATTTAGCACCTGTTAAAATAGCTTTAATAGGTTATTGTGGGTTTGTCATTAATTCATGAAGAGGACATAGATTATAATTAGATATTTTTGTTGTAAGCAATTTATACTCTTTCTCTCAGGAGCTCTAACACAGAGAACTCACTCATATAACTTTATGTAATGTTCATCAAAGAGAGATATAGTAAACCTAAAAGTAAGCCTGAAAAAAAATCTCAATTTGCAGATTTGCCTAAAGACTTTGCCCATTAAGTGTACCAGTTTAAAAGTCTTTGAAAGTTAGTAATCTTATGCCTGGTTATACTAGGTTAGGAAGCAATACCTAAGCCCTCAAATTCTTAGGCCTAAGAGCTGGCTGGTTAGCTCAGTTGGTTAGAGCATGGTGTTGTAACACCAAAGTCAAGGGTTTGGATCTCCATACCCACCAGCTGCGGAAAAGAAGGAAAAAAGAATTCTCAGACCTAAAAATGTGAGACCATAGAAAATCATGCACAGTCATTCAGCTAATTTCCTATATTGGAATGTAGTATGTAGCGGGAAAGTTGACTTCTAAGATGTCTGTACTTATTCAGGAAATTCTCACCAATAATTTTTTTGAAAATTAATGAGAGGAGGGCTAGCCAGTTAGCTCAGTTGGTTAGAGCATGGTGTTAATAACACCAGGGTCAAGGGTTTGGATTCCCATACTCACCAGCTGCCAAAAAAAAAAAAAAAGAAAGAAAGAAAGAAAGAAAAAGAAAATTAATGAATTAATGAAATCCCTATAAAATAGAAAGATTGGAAATTACTATTGTTTCTTATCATCCACAATGTGGAATCTTATTTGGTAACCTGGTTAAGGGAGAATAAAGTAGTTACTTTATATCATATAATAAAGATATTTTCTTATGAAACTGTCTTGGTCATGATTTCTTAACACTGAAGAAAGATCCATAGTAACTAGTAAGTAGTGTTGCCCTGTTTTTAAGTCAGAATTGACAGAAAAACCAGAATAGTGCTGGTACCCCTCTTCCTCTCTAGTACTTCAATGGTACGTGGTCACTAGGGTTGCAGTGGGATGACCAGCCCTTTGGCTGGCTCCTCAGATACCTCCACATTTCTGGATAGACTCGGAGATAAATACAGCCAAATGGGCCAGAGGGCCCTGCTTGTGCCTGGCTTGCTAACCCAGATCTCTGATGTCAATCTAGGGAGAAGCTCATGTGTCAGTTTCAGCCCAAAGCAGGTACTTAGGAGAGTTTCAAGGGCCCCTAAGTCACTTTGACTACAAATCCTTAGGTTAAGCCTGATTATGGGTGAGAGGCAATCAATTATCTTGTTGCTATAACTGCATATAACCACCTGGACGTAGCTCAATTTTCATGGATTTGTTTCATCTAATTTTAGTCTTTCCAGAAAGCAGTCAGATCAGTAACAAGTAAAAGGTATTTGTAATGCTGGATCATTTAGCAATAATGAATTCTTTTTAATACTTGATTTAGTAATTTCAAAAGGTAAGTAACTTTTCCTTTAGTCATTGTAGCTATTCCTGGGCAAAATTCTTACTGCAGAGACAATATTAATTATAATACCATATTGTTTATATATTTATAAAAGAAGGTATTTTGTGCTACCTGTTTAGCCCAAGAAGGGAAATCACTGTTTTTAATTTTTTTTTTTTTCTGATTAAATATAGGAGTAAAAGCAACAAATGGGGTGCCCATTGAATGGAATATAACAAGAATTTATTTTGAGGGAACAGAAAGTTCCTAAATGCTTTGGGAGGTTTTGACAGCTACAATTTGGGCCTAATGACTACACATATAACTTTAGGTTTGTAATACTATTCCACTACAATAGTAACTTTCTCACTGAAAAATGTTTGATGGAAAACATTTACTTTAGGTTCTGTCACTCACTTTAGGATGTGAAACCTCTTTAAATCCACACTTACACATGTTAACTTATACAGAATTACATCACTTAAAATAATATTTCAAAACAGCCTACCATCTGGTGCTGCTAGCCAGAAGTGCTACAGAAAATGATGCCCTAGGAAAAAATCAACAAAAACTGTAAACTTACTCAATCCAGGTTCTTCACAGAAATCCCCCATCACTGACAATAGTCAACTTCTAACAAAAGTTGGTTATACTTGTGATTTCCACTCACCACAGACCACACTGCCTAGTAGCTGGAAAAGCCAGTACTGAAATTCATTTCAGCACCAAAATAAAAAGGAAAGGCTAAGAAACACTAAGCTTTGTAAAATAATTGGGGGAGGGAGGATGGAGATAGGGACGTATGCTAAATAAACCATTATGGCCTTGAATATGAAGTTCCTTTATAGCCAAGAATTTGAATTTTATCACTGATTGTTTTGAAAATATTTTGTCATTTTTAAATCTTAACCTACATTGGAGTAGCCACGGCTTTTCCACTTCGGAAATTTCAACACCTAGAAGAATGCCTCATCCAGACTTGCTCGGGAATATCAGGAGAGCCACCAACAGAGACTAGGGGCTTATTCAGAGCTGACAGAGTTGAAAATGAACTGTTCCTCCTAGACTCCCTCTCTATAATGCTTCTGTTGTACTTATTTCACTCCACCTTAATTTTTAATATCTGTCTACCTTAAGACATAAGCCTCTTGAGTGTAGGCAGCAGCATAGTTGTGAAAACCCATACTTTTTGAGTGAATTAATGAATATTATTAAAGGCAAGAGATGGTTAACACTAAAACTCAAGTGCGGAATTAAATGAGATGTGACACAAATATTAAGAACTATGTACTTTTGTTTTTGCCTTTCTCTGTCTCCATAACCCTTGTCTTCATATTCTTTTCTGCTTCATTTCCTTCATATCTTCCTGCCCATCCCTGCTTTTCACCGTCTAACCTGAAATTGAATATTAATGATAGTCATTTTATTTATTAAGCAGGTTTTTATTTTGTTTTTCTTAGTTTAAAAGCCAGATGAAGGACACAAACAACAGGGTGAAAAGGCAGCCTGTGTAATGGAAGAATGGTTAATAATCAGAACATATGAAGAATCCCTACAATTCAAAAAACAAAAAATAACCCCATTAAAAAAATGGGCAAAGAGGGGCTGGCCAGTTACTCAGTTAGTTAGACCAGTGCTTGTAACACCAAGGTCCAGGGTTCAATCCCTGTTCCAGCCAACCTAAAAAAAAATTTTAATTTTTTTTAATTTTAAAAAAAGTTTTAAAAATGAATACATTTTTTAAATGGGCAAAGGACTTGACATTTTTACAAAGAAGATATACAAATGGCCAGTAACCACATGAAAAGCTGTTCATCATCACTAATCATCAGAAAAATGCAAATCGAAACCACAAGATACATCTCATACACATTAGGATGGCTATTGTCAAATAAACAGAAAATAAGTGGGCCGGCCTGTGGCTCACTCGGGAGAGTGCGGTGCTCATAACACCAAGGCCACGGGTTCGGATCCCATATAGGGATGGCCGGTTCGCTCACTGGCTGAGCGTGGTGCTGACAACACCAAGTCAAGGGTTAAGATCCCCTTACCAGTCATCTTTTTAAAAATAAATAAATAAATAAAAATAAAAAAAAGAAAATAAACAGAAAATAAGTGTTGGCTGGCAAAGATGTGGAGAAATTGGAACCCTTGTGCACTGTTGATGGAAATGTAAAATGGGAAGCCGCTGTGGAAAACAATACAGAGGTTCCTCAAAATATTAAATACATAGAATGAATTAAAAAAGAATTAAAAAAATTAAATAGATAGAATTACCACATGATGCTACAATTCCATTTCTGGGTATACATCCCAAAAATTTGAAAGCAGGGTCTCAAAGATATTTGTTCACTCATGTTCATAGCAGCATTATTCACAATATCCAAAAGGTGGAAGCAACCCAAGTGTCCATAACAGATGAGTGGATTAACATAGTGTGGTACATAAATACAATGTAATATTGATCCACCTTAAAAAGGAAAGAAATTCAGACACATGCTTCAACATGGATAAACCTTAAAGTTGCCAAGAGCTGGGAGTAGGGGGAATGGGAAATTTTTTTTTAACCCCCTCCCCCCAAAAATTAATGGGTACAAAATTTCAGTTTTGCAAGATGAAAAGAGTTCTGGAAATGGTTGGCAGTGATGCTTGCACAATAATTTGTATTAAATGTCTGTCACTGAACTGTACATTTAAAACGGTTAAGGTGGAAAATTCTATGTTGTGTGTTTTTACTTTTTTTTTTTTTTGATGCTGGCCAGTTTGGGGATCTGATTTCATGATCTTGGTGTTATACTACCACACTCTAACCAACTGAGCTAGCCAGCCAACCCCATTACTGACTTTTTTAAAAAGCCAGTTGAATTCATCTGTATGTTAATCCTCCAAACCTATTTTGTTTATGTATTAATAATTTATCCCCCCTTACAGAAATAACATAGTTGAGGCATTTTAAAGTAAAACAGAACAGTTTAAGATTAAAGATCCATAGAAGAAAGGCAGATTACACTTAAATGTTAAATCCCAGCTCTGAGCTTCCTGCAGTAATATAATTCCTTTTGTCAAGGGGACCAGGAGAAAATTTTTTCCTATCACTAAAATCTAGGAGAAATTTATCACATGACCCCTTAAGGGAAACAATACCTTCATTAGTGATTTTCTAAAAGATAATAGTAGCTACTAAATAAATGTTTGTGTACCAGATACAAAGTTAAGTGTTTTAAATGTGTTATTTCATTTAACCCCATGATAAAGCTGTTCTCATTCCAGAGACAAGGAAAACAAGACTCAGAGATTATTAGTAACTTGCCTATGATAAACACTGCTAGTTGTCTTCCCAATAGCAAAGTCTGTCTGCTGCACTCTTCCTTCTCAAAAGAATTGGGATTTTATTCACTCTTCTTCTCTGTAGCTCCAGAAGCTAAATCTTCATTTGTTTGAACCAATCTCAATCATTGCAGTCCCCCCAGTATTTCCAGTCTAGGCCTGAGGCTGGGGTGCAAACTGACACAGTGAATTGTAAAGGGAGTTTTGTTGGTGTCTTCTTTCGCCTTAAAAAGGGCACTTCTTTTTGAGATGATGAAAATATTCCAAAATGAGATTATGGTGATGATTTCACAACTCTGTGAAGATACTAAAGAGCATTGACTTATACACTTTAAAAGGGTGAATTTTATAGTATGCAGCATATATCAACAAAGGTGTTATTTAGAAAAAAAAACTAATAGAATGTATGATTGGCAAGCCTTTGAGTAATGATTCTCAAACCTGGTTGGACATCAGAATTCCCAATAGAGCTTGTAAAAAAAAAATGTAGACAGTCAAGCTTTACCTCAAGTAATTCTGATTTGGTTGGCCTGGGAAGGGCTTAGCATCTATCTATCATCTATCTATCTATCTATCTATCTATCTATCTATCTATCTATCTATC